CAGACTTAATAATATACACTAATTCAGGGTATTTTGACCAAAGAAATGTAGCAGAATACATTTTGGCCTAAATTTATGAAGAAATGTTATTTATTTGCAAAATTTTATAACAGAAACGAAGAAAAATGTGTTTTTTTTCAAAAGTTTCAGGTATTTTTTTGTTGTATTTAGCAAAAAATAAAAAAAATCAGTGGTGATTAAATACCACCAAAAGAAAGCTCTATTTGTGTGAAAATATTGATACAAATGTCATATGGGTACAGTGTTGCATGACCGCATAATTGTCATTCATAGTGTGACAGCGCTGAAAGCTAAAAATTGGCCTAGGCAGGAAGGGGGTAAAATTGCTCGGTATTGAAGTGGTTAAGAGATGGACAGACCCAGACAGGTGTCGAATCTGGTTTCCCACCAAAGTGCTCCTTCCCCTATCTGTCCAGGGGGTGCAGGAATACTCACTCAGATCCTCTCCTGGACCACTGATGGGTTGGTGGCTGCTACCAGGCCTTCTAGCTGGGCCACTCCTTCGCTGCTGTACAGGTGGTCCTCGCTCTGGGGGCCAGTGAAGCTCTAAGCTTTCTTTCCTGCTCCTCTACTGTCGGTGAGGCCCCCTCTTCATCTGGGCCCCCTCCCAGGCTCCTGACTTCTGCCTCACAGCTTCCTCTCTGTCTTCCACCCAAACTCTCTCCTGCAGCTCAGCAGGCTAATTTACTTTTAAGGGTTGTCCTGGCCCCTTGCCAGGCCTCCACAAAAGTACAAGCCAGCCACTCCTCAGATCCACCCACTGCTTCTAGACCTTCCTCCAAAGCTCTAGAGCAGGGGGGATTCCAGAGGGGCTGGCCTGCAGAGCCTCTCAGCCCTGACCACAATCTGACCTCCTGACTATTGCACCCAAGCTGCTACTCAGCCCTCTTCTCTAACAATCAGGACTCTAACTCCCCCCTAACTAAATAGGAGGGTGCTACATATACTGTATATTTGAAAATTGATCAATCCTGATGTACTGACAATTATTTTTTGAGGCCCTAAAATGACAGGACAGTACAAATACCCCCAAATGGCCCCTTTTTGGAAAGTAGTTAGTCCAAGGTATTTAGTAAGAGGCTTGGCGAGTTTTTGAAGTTGTAATTATTTCATCACTTTTTTTGGAAAATGAAGAAATTAAATATTTTTTTTCACAGTGCAGTACCAGTGCATACAGAGTCATCATATGACAGTGGGGGCCTCCTGGGTCTCCTACCATAGTGTCCCTTTTCATTCTGATGTTGATATTTAGTCTTTGAACAATTTTTCTCTTTCACCCACATCCAGGGAGATTAGCTACAGTGCCGTGGGCTGTAAAGTTCTTGACAATGTTGAGCATGGTGGACACAGGAACATTAAGATCTCTGGAGATGGACTTGTAACCTTGAGATTGTCCATGCTTTTCCACAATTTTTGTTCTCAAATCCTCAGACTATTCTGTGCTGCTCTTTCTCTTCTCCATGTGGCACACAGAGACATACTGAGGCTGAGTCAATGTTTCATCATTTAACTGGTTGCCGGTGTGATTTCCATATTGGTAGCACCTGTTAATTGATACAGGTGAGTTTAATTACAAATTACAGGAGCATAACAAACCTGGAATGCAATTATTTCTTACAATTTAGAGAAGGTGCTAATAATTTTGTCCAGTCCATGTTTTGGGTTTTGTGTGTAATGTGTCAGATTTGGCTTTTAGTTTCTCCAGTTTTTTGTGTCATACCAATACAAACAAAAGAAATAAACATGAGAATGCCTAAACATTTGTAACATTCCCTGGGCAAAGTGGTGCATTATCTGACAGAAATATGCCAATATTTTTGGCCATGACTGTATATAAATCAACTGTGTTCAGTGAAAAGTTAAAATGATTTCATTGTTTGTACTCTTCCTTCTGCTAACCTCACGATGGAGGCCTCCTCTGGAAACAGATGGTGCTGTGTAAGGCTACAATTGGGGTCCATAGCAGTAAGGCTTTAAGCAGGTATGGGAAATACTACTTGGTGGGTGTTGGTTAGGCCTTCCCAGGTATTGAAAGGTTCCAAAGGGTACTCTGGGGAGTATCTTATATCCATAGCAGGAGTGCTCCAGTAGGTCTACCGGACCATCGTTTGTCAAGACAGGAGTGGGCTAAAGAGTATACATGCTCCCCCACCACATAGCTTGTTCTACATATGGAGGGCATGCAGCCAAGCACACAGCTCCTCTTACATCACAAGACTATACACAAATGGCCAAATTTCGTTACTGTAGGCACTGGTGCCAAAATAAAACTCAATTACATAGAATTTTGTTTTCTTGCTTAGATTATCTTTGTTTTGCCCCATTTAGTGTAGTTGTTGAGTAATCAGCAGGGGAAAGCAGTTTTAACATTACTTTGTGTCTAATTTTCAAAATGGCTGCCCACAATGAATCTTCCATACGTTTATAAAAAGGAATCCAAACAGACAGACTGGTAGGTAACACGTTGCATTATGTTTTCAACTGCTGCATGTTAACACTCAATTTTACTGGTCAAAGATTTCCTTCAAAATGATCCGACTGTTATTTTTTCTTATCAGCCACTGTTTTTATAAACTGTGTTGACTTTTGGAAAATGTGGAGACCATCCCTTGACACCATGACTATGTTGAAATTGACAAAACCTCTGCCTATTTTGTAACATCTCAGCTGTCCCATCCCATTTACCTATCAGTTGAGAAAAGCTATCACAAAGCAGTGAGGACAGGTTTTGTCAATGGGACCATGCAAACAGTCCTTACTGGAAGACTTGCATCAGCTCAACCAGCTTGAGTGTTTACAATATCCCATGTTGAGGTTAGAGGGCCTATCTTTACCAGTACATCCTGGAAAAAGATGACATACTGTATTTGCAGTGTGTTCTGTACACACAAAAAGAAAGAAGGAACCGTAAAGTTAAAACGGAACTTTATTTTATTAATATAAGTATATTATATTTACTTGCTTAAAACTCTTTGCATTTCTTCAGTTACTTATTGGTTTGCAGACTTAGGCAAATGATGTCATACATTCCAAGAGTTTCCATTAGGGGAGAAGGGTGTTTTTCAGCTACAGTAAGCACATCTTCCTGTCTGCATGCCTGAGCTAAGGGCAGATGGATTCCAGGAAGTAAATTCTACATTAATTATCTGCCCTTATTCAAAATGGCCACAGCCAGAAATGCTAAGGGGTGTTTTTCAAAGTGATTTCTAAGCAAAATAAAGCTTGGAAACATAGATGAATGCTTGAGTTTGCTCTGAATATTAAACATGAATTATATAGTGTTTTTGGTTTCTGGTGCTCAGCTAATGTGTAGCTCTGCTTTATTATTAAAGTTTTAGCCAACCAAAATTTGTTTTAATTGTGTATAGCGTGAAGAAGGATTAGAACCCCTGTTGCATTTAAATGCTGTCTAGAACTTTAGAGAGACTTCCTTTCACTTACAGGTTACAGGGGAATCTGCATTTAGGACCGGGGGAGGGTCACGGCTGGCTGGCAGTGGATTTGTTGGTCTCTGTACTACACAGACAGAGGTGCTGCTGGCCTGAAAATCTTGTATCCTTATGGTAACACTATACAGGTGTACCTCAGTTTGCGAACGCCTCGGTTAATGTTTAATTTGACAGTTTACAAATGAAAATCCATTAAAAATAATGCCTCAGTTTACAAATTTTTTACAACTTTTTTTGCAATACGAAGTGTATGTCGGCTCCAATTTTTAAATGCAATTGCCAGATTTTTTTTTCTTCACTATAGCTCACAGAATTAGCTGTCACTTTCCTCGGAGCTAAAGGATACTTTGTCTCTTTTATCTTGGGAAACAAATTAAAAGGAAACATTGTTTCTTTTAACTTAGGGAAATAAACTAAAAGGAAACATTCTTTCTTTTAGCTGGGGGGAAAATGACAGCTGATTCTCTGAGCTATAGTGAAGAAAAAAAAAAACCCGTATTTACATTTAAAAACTGGCACTGACCTATAGTGACAGCAAATTTTTTTTTACTTTTTTCTGACCTCCAGAACGGATTAATTGGTTTTCAGTGCATTCCTATGGCGTTTCGGTTTATGAATTTTTCGCAATAAATGGAGAACGCATTAAATTTGTAAACCGAGGTACACCTGTAGTAGGTACAGTGAGGAACAGAAGTATTTGAACACCCTGCGATTTTGCAAGTTCTCCCACTTAGTTCTCCCAGTCATCTTTAGCTTCTTCCATTTTCTAACAATTGCTCCAACAGTTGATCTATTTTCACCAAGCTGCTTGGCAATAGCCCTTTCCAGCCTTGTGGAGGTCCACAATTTTGTCTGTGGTGTCTTTTGACAGCCCTTTGGTCTTGCCCATGGTAGTAGTTGGTGTCTGACTGACTGTGGGGTGGACAGGTGTCTTTAAAGAGCTCAGACAGGTGCTACTAAGTTAGATTAATCAGTGGAGTAGAGGTGGACTTTTTAAAGGCACAGTAACAGGTCTTTGAGAGCCAGAATTCTTGCTGTTTCTTAGGTGTTCAAATACTTATGTTCAGCAGTGCAAGACAAATAAATTCTTTAAAAATCATACAATGTGATTTCCTGAAATTTTTTTTTTAATTCTGTCTCTCAGAGTGGGAATGCACCTACAATGTGAATTTCACACTCCTCCATGATTTCTAAGTGGGAGAACTTGCAAAATCGCAGGGTGTTCAAATACTTCTGTTCCTCACTGTAAATGACTCAACTGACAATAATAGTGAGCCGGGAATGTGAAATGGATAAGAAATAAGGTAGGATGACTGTCCTACAAAGTCTGTAGACACAATGAGGGCCCCCAGTAACCTTCTTGAAATGAAAAATAACAAGTAAGCACCTGACAAGAGGTTGCACATGATTGGTGCCATACAGGGGCCAATGGTATTATTCTGCAATGCATATGCTGCCCTTTATACACCATTATAGTTACATAAGTGGGGGTATAAGGGAGTAGTGTGTACAGAAAGTTTATAAAATGGTCATGACCAGGGGCGGACTGACAACTCATGGGGCCCCCGGGCAATAGGGGATCATGGGGCCCCTGTGTCCTTGCCCAAACTCAAAAAAGCCTATGAAAAGGGTACCAGGGGCATCTCATGGGGCCCCCTACTGACCCCGGGCCCTTGGGCAGTGCTAATATAATTTCTAAGTATGGCATGGTCAAAAATCAGTCCTTTAGGCCCTGGTTCACACTGAGGCGGTTCAGGATTTGCAGCGATTTCAGTGCGAATTCCGCACCGCATCAGAATCGCACCCCGTTCATACGAACCGCTGCAGGTGTGTATATTAAGTTAACAACACCCCGAAAGCGGTCCGCAAAACGCGGTGCGGTGTGCAGAATCGTATCGCATGAGTGTGAATACCCATGCGATCCAAAAAAGCGTCCTGCATGTTTTTGGTGCGGGTGCAGAGCGATTAGAGTCATACAAAATGTATCGCACCGCACATTTTGCACAGGAATGCGATATACCGCATCGCATATATGTGAATCCAGGCTTATAATACTAAATATGTACTTATCCTGTAGAATATTCATGTAGATTATAAAACATTCCTGTATTAAAATATCAATATTACAATTATTTCTGTAGCCTCCCATACTAAAATATAACAGGTATGTTGCCAATTTCCTATTCATTGCTCTTTTTTTTTGGGAGGGGGGACACGTTAGAACATAGCAGCGATTATTGCATTTAGCGCTGGCAGCTGGTCTAAAGTAAGCAGGTTGCCATGGTTATGACGGTTAATAATGGCGTGTCACCTCTGCCTCATGTTTACATTCTAAATCCCTTACAAGATTGCACAATCCAAACACACTACACACACTGTTGATATAAAGGGACAAATGATTTTTATTTCTCATATTCAACATTTGTTTGAAGAATCTGCATAAAAAAGACTATTAATTATTCTGAGATGATATTGTTGCAGCCTGTGATTAAATGAGTGGGAGAACTTAGAAAGTATTTGGGGGGAAAATGACACAATGTCTATAGCAGGAAATCCATTGAGTTTGTTTTTTTAGGGAAGCAGCCATATTAACCAACCCCTTGTTACAATTCCCTGTAGGAAAGTCTCACTTTCTGGCAATTCCTCTACACAGATCTCAGACAACCACTCATGTTTAGATCAGCAAGTGTTCTGTTTCCTTCATGCTTCCAGTCTCCTTTAGTGGTATTCATTTAGTTTGGCCTAGTTAACAATGGCTTCAGCGTTTGACCTCTGAAAAGTGATCTGTGGTGGATCATTTTTCAGACCGTGTTTTGACAAGCAGTTGGGAGGTAATATGTTACCTTTACACTGCCTGTTTTAACCCTGCAAAGCATGTACCAACACACACATTGCATATGAGGGCAAGGAGGTTGTGTAACGGCCCATTCACTTGGCCGCCATGTTTTTATTAAATGGGGCATCCAGGGATGGTAAAAGCATAGCTCAACATCCTGTTTTTACCACCATCCAACTGCAAGTATAAACGAAGTCTAAGAGAGATGTGAAAAACAAGCTCTGTGTTTACACAGAGCTGCCACAAACCTCCTCTTATGGGGTCCCCTGCTGGCGATCTTGTTTCCTCTTATTCTGAGTGCCCCGATAGCAAGCTGCCTGCTATGGGGGCACTCGTGCAGGCTCGATCCCAAGCTGGGCTGTGTGTCTATAGACACACAGTGTGGCTCGGTCCCTGCTTCCTCTTCACAGTATTTGACTGACAGGGGCAACAACCAATGGCACTTACTGCTGTAAAATCTGCTGTAAGAAGAGAGAGAGGGGAGAAGAACTGCTGCAGATGGCCACAATGCTGGCTTGAGATTGGGCTCAGGTAAGTATTTAAAAGGGGCCTGAAAGGAGCAACTTTTTAAAAGTTTTTGTTACCTTAATGCAGAGAATACATTAAGGTGAAAACCCTTTAAAAGTGGTTGTGAAGGCTCAAAGCCTTTTTACCTTCATAAAGGTAAAAAACTTTCTGTGTGCAGCAGCCCCCCCCCCCCAACACTTACCTGAGCCCCATCCTGACCCAGAGATGTGCACGAGAACTTCTGCTTCTGTCAATCACAGCCAGTGAGGAAAGAGAGGGGGCGGCTCTGTGTGTGAATGAGCTGCTTGCTCTGGGGGAACAAGGCAGGAAGGAGGGGCCAGCAGTGCCAGTGGGGGACCCAAGAAGAGGAGGACTGGGGCTGCTCTGTGCCCAACCCCTGCACAGAGCAGGTAAGTATAACATATATGTTACTTAAAATAAAATGCCTTTAATATCACTTTAAAGCATATTAAAATATTTTTTTTTTCATTCAGTTTCCTTAAAATACCCTTAGTCCCCTATAAATACCTGAGCATCCTTCCAGAGATGCCCATCTGCATTCATTTATTTAATGCCTGTGTCTACAATTCATTTTACTATCTCAATATCTCCCCTTGTATTCACCCATTCAAATGCACTCAGAGCAGTGAGTATAACCCATGATGAGTGATGAGCCCAAGACCAAGAACACATCCTTGGCATCCCTGTAGACAAGCATGTTCTGTCCTGTTGGCCACTGGATGGTGCAGACTTTAGTTGTTCTGGGCTGATCAGCTGCTTGATTACTGTTCCAGAAGGTCTGAGAATATAATTAGGCAACTAATGGGCAGACTGCATAACTAAAGTGTACAGTATCCAGTGGCCAGTTTCCTTCATGGAACATGCACATCTAAAAGGTACCTCAGGATGTTCTTTCATGTTTGCATTCAGTAGGAAGTTGGTGTATCACCCCTATCATCCCTGAAGAACTGGCCTGAAAATACTAAAAAAAAAACAACTGCAGCCATAGGAATGGAATGAAGATATGCACACTTTTTTCAAAGTAAGAAAAAAATGTTTCAACAATACTAATATAGCATTTTGAGTCAGTGAATAGTGCTCGTTATTAATACCAAATGTAATGAATGTGACTTTAGTACTCCTTTAAACACAGACCTTAGTGGAAGTGCGGACTGTCACTTTAAGAAGTAGTGCTGAAGTCTGCTAGCTGCTTGCTTTTTAAATTAATTATATGGTCACAGCATACACTTTCATTGTATAACATCAGCATTGTAATTATATATATATAGGATTTATATAGCGCCAACAGTTTGCGCAGTGCAAACATGTTATATTTACCTGCCCTGTGCAATGGTATTGCACAGAGCAGCCCCAAACCTCCTCTTCGGGGGTTCCTCTCCAGCACTCCAGGCTCCTCTTCCTCCTCCTCTCAGTGCACCAGCATAGGAAGCTGCTTCTCTGGGGCTCCTGTACCTGTGGGATCGTCCCAGAGCCAGGTTTGTGTGAGTCTATAGACACACAGAGCACAACTTAGCCCCACCCCCACTTCCTGATCATTGTGTGATTTAAAACAGCAGGAGCCATTTCTCACAGGATTTGAGTGACAGCAGCAGGAGCCAATGGCACTTGCTGCTATCTCTCTGTCCTGTGAGGAAAGAGAGAGACTAGTGCTGCTGCAGATGTGCACAGCGCTGGATTCAGATAGGATTCAGGTAAGTATGGGGGATGGGGGGAGGTGTCAGGGGGTGATACTTTCACTGGAACATTTTTTTTTATCCTAATGCAGGGAATGCATTAAGGTAAAAGATGTTCAGCCTTTAGAACCACTTTAGCTTTTTGGTTTTAACGTCCTTGAATTGGAATAATCTACAAGAAATGGATGGAAGCCAAGCAGACACTGTATCAGATGTTTAAATCTATTTTGCCAGAAATATAAAGCAATGTAATGTAATCCTTCTTCCCTTAGTTCTATACCCTCAATATATATAACATACAGTAACAATATATACAGTACAAAGCATCCTTCAGATTTTTAGACAACAGTGCAATCCACAAAATGCAACAATAAAATGGCCAACTTCTTTCAAGTGAAGACAATCCATGTAAATTATCCTCCTCCACCTCTGTGAACAATCAACTGAGCTCAATGTGATATCCCACACCTTATGTCCACACAGAGAATTCTCTAGATAAATATGACCTTTCTGAAAATAAAAGGTCTATAGCACATTTGTATCACACCTGCATCTCTTTTGGTCCTGTCTCCTTTTAAAGGATCTTTCACAAGTAATACCCAAAAGCAATGCAGCACCAAAACTCTGATAGTATAATAACATTTTGAACATTAATTTAAAATCAAAGCAACATATTCACTCATTTGGGACTGTGCTGAAAACCACACCGGTCTGAAAAGGCTTAGTCACTATGTTCCTCTACAGCTCCATGCTCTGTTTGTTCTCATTAGCAGAGATTGTAAATCAGAGTGTGTTTTATGTGATAGTAGCACCTATATGGCAGAATTTAGATTTTAAAATGTAATTTTACCTTTTAATACTATATGAAAAATATAGCAGTATATACAGAGCAAGTAGAGATCAGTACTATGATGGACAAGCAGATAATGTGATGAACACTTTGGGTATATTATGAAAAACATACAGTATATATGGAATATGTATCCCTTGTACTATAATAATGAATACATAATGTAAATTATATATTGATATGCATCCCCTATAATATACTGTATAAATATATTATTATTGCATATTTATTTCTCCTGCTATATGCTGGAAAGTAATATACAGCATTATGTAAACATATATATAGGATATGTATCTCTCGTTCTACATACATGAATAGATTAATAGATTATGTAAAAGATATGCATAGTATATATATATATATTGTATCTCTCATACTATATAAAGGAATATCATATGTAAAACATATATAAAGGCAGGGCTTTTTTCAGTGGGAACACGAGGGAATGCAGTGCCAGCACCCCAAGCACTGATTGAATGAAATGGCAAGGAGTGCTGGGGTGTGCTAGAGGGTCTATTGATGCTGGCTGCTGGAGAATCTATTGTCACTGGAGGGGATCTATATTTGCCTGGTGGTCTATTGTTGCTGGGGAGGTCTATTGCTGCTGGAGAGAGATCTGGTGTTGTTGGGAGGTCAATTGTTAAAGTAACCTACTTTTGAGGGAGGGGTTTATTGTTGTTTGCTGATGGGAGATCTGTTGTTGCTGATGGGGGTCAATTTTTGCTGGGGTGGTATTTTGTTGCAGAGGTCCATTGTTGCCTGGGGAATCTAATGTTGCTTGGGGGGGGGCTATTTTTGCTAGCTGCAGAGGATCTATTT